TAGAACTGTTATTATTAACCACTGAATAGTATATAACCATCCAAGGTTGCCTGTGTTTAGCACATTTAAGAACTGGGCAATCTTCCCCATACTTACAATAAGGTAGGCTCATGGTCTGTATTCATTCAGTGTTAGCTGTACACTTTCTACTATAGTCACAGTGTCATCCTAAGCGCAGTAACACCCTTCTAAATGCATTGAAGTCAATGAACTTAAAAGGATGTAGCTGTGCTTATGTTACTGCAAAACTCTGTTGCTAGGTCAGTGACGTAAATATCTTCTGCCCAGAGTATATTATTTGAGGCTGTCCCCCCATCTTGCAGGGAGATTCCAAGAGCCTTAGTTTTGTATGTTTTATCCCTTATCAAGGAATTTATTTATTGAGAATAGAATATTGCAGAATAGAAGAAAACAGTTTCCTGTTCCGAAGGGATTTACAATCTAGAATTTGAGACAATAAACGAGGAGATATGGATATGTGTCCAGTCAGTTTGTCAATCACACTTCCGTTCGTTTGAAGAACTGTTTTGTAAGGTAGGTCTGTGAAGTGTAACCTGCTGCTAACGTTGCTCATTCTGTCAAGAGGGATTCAACTGTATGCAGTACTGCCAGTTTGCTAGATGTTGGTTCAGCTGATAGAGCATATTGTTAAGTAGTTATCACAGAAGCCATATGGACTACTTGACTCAGGCATGGGATTATTTCTTCAAAGTCCCATTGGCATGGTGCTTGACTTGTACTGTATCATTGTGGCATCACTACATACACACTCCTGAACGGCCCACAGCTAAAGCTTGGCAAAAGTCCTACTAACGGAGTGGGAATAAAGTTTGTCCTCATATAAAGTACTGAGGCTGATGCGTTGGAGAGTGATTCCAGCTCATACTTTATTTAGTTACAGTAAATCTTGAGACGCCTTTGCCGGCTTGCAGATCGGCTTATATTCACAAATCACACCACACCCCAACACACACCCACACCCATGATTGGAGATTTACAGTGTATCCCTAGACCCATAGGTCCCTCCTAGGATCCTAGCCTCCCGATAGGTGTGTGCTAGGATCCGTTCGGGCTATTGTCTTTAGAGGCGAAGCTCAGGTCCTTCGCCTGACCACTTGTTGGCCCGATCGTGTGTGTGAACTTCCCTGGGTACACAACACCCCTCCCCCCTTGGTGCAAATGGCCCAAACATACATAATCCTTTAGATAGGCTGGCCTCTTATGCGCCCACGTGGAACAGCGGATGGCTGGAGCCGGAGCGGGGCTTCCTGGCACTGTTCCGGTTGGTTCCGGGGGCAGGGTTGCCGATGGGGGTATTGCTGTCGGGGCAGCCAAGCTGCTGGGCTCTGGGCAGCTCGTCGGTACTGGGTTGCCGCCGTCTTCCCCGCCAGGGATTGTGCTGGCTACTGGGAGTGGAGGGTTCATTGTTTCCAGTCCCCCAGGGTAGATGGTGGCCTCGTCTGGGCTGTCTGGGGCCAGAGGCAGGACGCGGCAGCAGAGCTGATCTATGCGCCGCCTCCAAAGCTGCCCATCCTCGCTGGCAACTTCATATGACAGAGGGCCGGTCACCCGAACCACTCTCGCAGGAACCCATGTGGGACCCCAGCTGTAGTTACGGGCATAGACCAAGTCTTCAGGGAAGAAGCCCCTCGGTGCCTCCTGGCAATCCATTCGATTTTGAAAAATACCCGGCGCCACACCCCCCCCAAATTGCAGGTGCCGGACCTTGAAAGCCCCCCTGTGAGTTACAACAGTTTGAGCATCGGCTGAGGCATCATTGACCGGCAGCTGCTGATAGGCCTGGGCCAAATCCAGCTTGCCGAACACCCTTGCTCCTGCCTAGGAAGCCAAGACTTGGCTGACCACTGGTACCGGGTACGTGTAGTCTTGCAGTGCCTTATTAATAGTGCACTTATAGTCCGCACAAATGCGAATGTCCCCGTTTGACTTTAAGGGGGTGACGATGGGTGTCTCCTACCGGGCATGCGACACTTGTTCTAACAGCCCTTGCTCAACCAGGTGGTCCAGTTCAGCTTCTATCTTGGGCCACAGTGCTAACGGGGGCCACCTGACCGTCATCCTTATCGGCCGCACCGCAGGGTCAAGGTCCAGGGAGACCGGAGTATCAGCCCAGCGTGCCGTCAAACTCCTCCGGGAACTCCCCGCAGACTGCATTAAAATCCTGCGGTAGTATAGAGTGGATGCCCATCACGGCAAAACCCAGGGGCCATAAACCACGGAAGTCCCAAAAGGCTAGTGAGCTTCTCTTCCATCACCAGCAATTCTAAAGGGCAGTCAAAGTCTCTGAATTGTACCCTGAATCTGCCCCAGCCCTTGATAGCCACAGGGTTTTTCTGTAAGTCCCACAGAGACAAACCCCGTGGCTTTTCCAGGAGGGCCCCCCCCCAGGGCAGAGTTTCTGTAGAGTCTCTGCCGAGATAATGGAAAAGGAAAAGCCCGTGTCTAGTTCCATGCAACAGAGGGACCCCTCGATTAATACAGTTACATGCATCTTGTTAGGGGCATCGGGGGGCAGATTCAGTACCTTTTGCTGCTGGTGGTTAATGGTCAATGTGTGCAGATCTAGGTCCTCCTGGTGAGTGGATGTTGCTTTCCTATTTCTACGGGATCGGCAGGTGCGGGCAATGTGGTCCTGTTTTCCATACGATCGGCAGGCATCACCATGGAAATGGCACGTCTTGCACTCGTGTGGGTTTCCACAGCTTGCACAGGTTGCTTGGGAGGCTTGCAGAGCGGTGGCCCCAGCCTGGGGTTGGGGCTTCCGGCGGATGGGTTGGCGAACCTGTAGGGCCTCTTCTTCATTTTATTTATTTATTTATTTATTTATTTATAAGTTCAATTTATAGCCCTCCCTCCCCGCAACGCGGGCTCAGAGCGGCTCACAATCAGGCATAAGCCAGTGCATATAACATATTTAAAACCATTTAAAACAAATTCTACAATATTACGACATTATTATTATTAAGTGCTCTGGATGTTCCAAATTGATCTTCCATAAAGATGGCGTATAATGCTGTTATATCTATTCAGTGCCATCTGTTCCGCTTGGCGCTGTCGTTCTTTCTCCCAGGGCCAGATGAAGATGGTACAGTAGTGGCTGCTCCTACTCAAAAGCCTGGCGGAAGAGCTCCGTCTTACAGGCCATGCGGAATTGTACAAGGTCCCGCAGGGCCCGGGTCTCCTCCGGGAGCTCGTTCCACCAGGTAGGAGCCGCCACCGAGAAGGCTCTGGCCCTGGTAGCAGCCAGCCTGGCCTCCTTGGGACCTGGCATCGCCAGGAGATGTTGCGTCCCCGACTGTAGTGCCCGTGGGGGAACATATGGGGAAAGGCAGTCCCGAATTGTTGGATGCTGTAGTGGGCACCATGTGGTGCGATACAGACGGTGGCCGTTCCCAGTGTGAGCCCTTGTATGCTGTGCCCATCTAGAGGGCTCCATCTATCTTGAGGTTGGCAGTGCCTACCAGCTTGCATCGGAGTTTCACATCCCATAGACCCCAGACAAACTGCGTCACGATGCTCTCCCCCATCTTCGTGAACCTGCAATCCATCGCGTGTTTGCGGAGGCCGGCCATGAAGGTGGCGGCTGTCTCGCCAGGCTGCTGAAAGCATGCTTGGAAGTTCATGTGCGTGGCCATCGTTGTGGGCTTCGGCGCATAGTACTTTGTCAAGGCCACGACGATCTCGTTGTATGTGTTGTCCAGGAGTGTCTTGGATGCCAGGAGGCTTTTGGCGAGGCGAATGGTGGCCACCCCGCAAGTGCTGAGAAGCAGTGCCCGTTTCTTGCCGGCATCGGTGACCTCGTGGTAGGTCAGGAAGCAGGATAGCTGGTCTACCCATGATTCCCAGAACTCGGGGTGTGTGGGGGGTCAAAGACCTCAAGGTGTCCTGGAGCGACAGCTATGACTCTTGAGTGAAGCGGGGAGTGGTGTCCTGGGGAGCGGGGAGCATTGTGGTGCTGCTTGGGAGCGATGCAGGGCGCAGCGGCTTCCACGGATCGATGCTTGGTGCTGGGCTGGAGAAGAGTCTGGCTCACTCAACGGGATCGTGGCCAGTATAAAGTACTGAGGCTGATGCCTTGGAGAGTGATTCCAGCTCATACTTTATTTAGTTACAGTAAATGCTGAGATGCCTTTGCTGGCTGGCAGACCAGCTTATATTCACAAATCACACCACACCACACCCCAACACACACACACACACCCCACCCCCTGATTGGATATGTACAGTGCACCCCTAGACCCGTAGGTCCCTCCTAGGATCCTAGCCTCCCTGTAGGTGTGTGCTAGGATCCTTTCGGGCTACTGTCTTTAGAGGCAAAGCTGGGGTCCTTCGCCTGACCACTTGTTGGCAGGACCCTGTGAGGACTTCCCTGGGTACACAACACCTCACATGACTTATGGACTTGGGAATTTTCATTCAGTCTTTTTCAAGGTGGTGGGGCGGTTCCCTCCCCACCTCCTTGAAAAAGACTGAATGAAAATTGAACTCGACCCTAGAAGCGGAGAATAAAGGGGCCGGTTGAAAGCGGTATTGCGCCTCCTCCCCTGGGTACAGGACTAGGACTTGCTTCCTAAAAGAGTCTTATAAAATTATGAGGATGTATCTAAGAATATAAAGAATGCACTTCCGTTCCTCCTCACTAACCACAAACAGGTCTCGAGGCTTTCCACAAAAACTGTACTTTCCTGGGGGGAAGAAGCACCCCCCCCCCCGA